GGGGGGGGGGGGGGGGGGGGGGGGGGGGGCGAATCTCAAAAAGAACCTCCGAAGCCTCAGCATCTTCGAGGCACTTTCTGCCAACTCAAGGGCTTCTGGGCACTTCAGAGCAGTTCAGGTGGTTGTGTACGCTGGCAGAGTTGCGTGCCTTAGGGAAAAAACGTTGACAGATAAATTGCTACGTATATTCCCATACTCTGTAGACTGCTGGCCGAACACCCTTTCAAAGGCTGACGTTGCACGGCACCAAGGCGGCTGGAAGCCAAGTCTCTAATCGATTTTTACAGCAACTTCTCCGGTCCAGCAGACCCCGGAGATCCGACAGCTGGAGCCCGGCGAAACAGGGCCCCGACAATGCCGTACACGTCCGGGTATCGGATTTGTGGGCAGCTGGACCTCAGCTCAAGCGATGCGCGCTCTCTCAGAGACCTCTTTCCCTCAGTTTTGTCAGCTTCCTCTTCTACATCGCGCTCTCGAATTTTCGAATCCTGCAGGATGCTCTCTTGGTGCCTGGCACTACGATGATTTGCGTGGGCCCCATCTTGTCCAACGTCCTGTGCATGGGCTCGCAGGCTCACGGGCTCACAGATTCAAGGGCTCAGGGAGCTTCGGGTCGCTTCGGGGAGTTGCGGGGGAGTGTCACACTCTGGTTTCAGTTTGCAGAAATCACCCTAATCCCAAGACCAATCCCAGTCCTCAAGATGGCATTCTTCAAGGTGTTGCCGCGGACGATGGAGTCGTCCAAGGCAACCACGGCATCCTCAGATGGTTCGGATTGAGAGTTTACCTTAGAAATGTTGACAGCCTCTTGTGTTTAAAAGCGGTTGTTGTGATCGTTGTGATCCCCATGATGCTGGCCTGCCCCCGCCGCACCGTTCCGTAGTGGATGTCGTAGGCATGCATCGTCAGGTGCTCGCGGGAGGAGTCCTCCGAATCTACAGTCGACCCGTTCTCCATTTGACAGAATAATGCCGCGAACTCGGGCAGCCTCGGGCACAGCTCAAGGCTGAGGGAGTAGGGTGAGCACAGTAGGCTTCTCGGAGTTGTGTTGTTCTGAGGCGTTCTGGGGCACGCAACGCGTCCTCCTGGATGAAGGTCCTGATCTTCGCATCCTTGTGAACCACTTTCTCAGTGCGCACCTTCTGCCACAGGGAATGTCTTTCGAGTGAGGCCGCTCAAGGCTGGAGGTGTCTGAATGGTGCGAAATGGTGCACATCCTTTGCGCAGAAAGCTCCAGGACTCTTGGCGCCTTGGCGCTGAGCAGCTCGTGGAGCTTCGCCTCGTCGATTTTCACCGCGCTGCCGTTTTGGCCCATCGCCTGCGCTTCGTGAGCCCTGAGGGTTTTTACAGGGTTCGCTGTGATTGGCGCGTTCACAAGGCTTACAGCGTCTAACAGCGGGGCTTACAGCTTAGATTGTTACTGAAACTCGTTTGAAAGGTAGTTTGACTCATGGTCGCACTGCGGAATCCACGAGCTCAGGAACTCATCAGGCGCCGGTATTGATGTACGCTGCACATGGAGTCGGTAACAGCCCAACCCCTTGATCCCCCTTCAGCCCCCAAAACCTTGAACCACTAAAAGCCCCTGGCCCGAATGACTCAAACCCTCCAAAAACTCGAAACGGCCTTGACCAGTTCAGCCTTCTGGCGGTCCAAGTGATCCTGGGCCTGGAGGCAGCGTTGGACTCACAAGTTCAAGCGACAGCGCTTCGCTGCATCCTCTGAACTCGAATCTGCGCTCTCTTGCTCGTCTTTTGGTTGGAGGAGTTTAGGGCACCTACAGGGCCCAACCTGAGAGAAGTCGCTACTTCGAGCCTCACGGTTTCGGCTAGTTGCTGGCAGTAGCGCCCCTCTCAGACCCCCAAAAAAAACAAGAATTCGGCCACCTTACCCCCCCCCCGCCCGCCCACTCTTCGGCTCTTCAAGGCCTGCTTTGCCAAGCCCAGGAAGGCGAGCTCCGAGGTGTTGGGGATGAAGCTGAGCACCGTGTTCCTGGGCTTAAACCCCCCCCCGCTAAGGCGCAAAGACCGAAACACCTTTAAGGCGGCCCAGATGCGCCAGGGAGAGGCCGTTCACGTCCAACCTGATGCTTTGCTCCGAAGAGCCGGGGGCGGCTTTTATTTTCAGACTTCTTGAAGATGTTGGACGTAGTTTTGGGACGTAGTTTTGGGACGTTTCTTAGAATGTGGGGTTGGCTAAGTGCACTGTGACAAGTGACTGGGTGGGCAAACTGATGTGCATGAATTAAGCCGCTCAGTGTCGGGCAAATTCAGCAGCGGAGGCAGCAAGAGTCGGCCCAGTTCCTTCCAGTCGTGGCCAGTAGAGGACTTATCTCAACGCCCACTCAGGGACGAAAGCACATGCAGGGTGTCCAGGGGTGTGTCGGGAAGTAGATCCCGGTTGAAAGGTGGGGCGTCTCTGGGTTTTTCGAGTCTGCCTCCTTGTGGCCGAGTCCACATGCAGTCCAAAGAATCCCAGAGCATGCCAGGAGTGCCCAAAATCCCTCCCCCCCAGAGCCCCACACTCACAGCAGACCCTTGCGGTGGTTGTGAATTGCTTGGTAGGCACGTGTTGTCTGTGTATCCTTGGAACTGGTCTCCGGAAAGAGAGATGCCCCTAAACCCTAAAACCCTAAGCCTGCAACCCAAACCCTATACCCTAAACCCCTATCCTAAACTCTGAACCCATAACCCTACCACGAAGCCCTAGCCAAACCCTATACCCCAAGCCCGAAAGCCTACACCCAAAACCCTAAAACAAGCAAGAGCAAAACAATAAAATAGAATTATACTACGAAAATGAACAAACCACGTAGAAGCAGCTTCCAAGATTAAGTATATGCATATATCTATATACATATCCGCCGACCCCAGCGGTAGCAGGGCGGCGTCAGTGAAGACCCCCCACCGCCCTCACCGCCCTCACCCGCTCTCACAGCATGCTGCTCATGACACCTTGAATTGGAGTGTTTTTGCATTGTTTGGCTTCAGTGCATGCCCAAACCCCGCCACCCATCGCCGTCACCCATGACGCCTTGAATTGGACCTTTGACCCCCCCCCACCCCATCCATTCAGGTGGTTTAAAGGGTCCAGTGCATGCCCGACCACCCCACGCCCCCCCACACCCCCCCACCCCCCCCCCCCCCCCCCCCCCACCCCCCCCACCCCCCACCCCCCCACCCCCCACGCACCGCCCCCCACTGAACCCATGGCTCCTGGCCCCATTGGCTCATGGTCCACGGCCCATGGATGTGGCTTCTCAGCTGACTTTAAAGGCTCCGCCCGCTCCGCTTGCTCCGCTTGCTCCGCCCTCCGCCCTTCCAGCTCCGCCTACTCCCCTCTGGCCCATGCTCCCACTCTCCATCCCCTTGACCTACCCCTCATGGACCCCCCCACGCCCCCCCACACCCCCCCTACCCCTTACCCCTCACGCACCCATGCCCCTCATGGACCCATGGCTCCTGGCCCCATGGCTCCCCATTCATTATGGTCCACGGCCCAAGCAGGTGGCTTCTCCGCCCCTACCCCCACCACCTCTACCCTTCCCGCTCCGCATACTCCCTCCCTTGCCCAAGCCCCCCACGCACCCCGCCATGCTTCTCATGGACCCATGGCTCCTGGTCCCATTCTTCATCCCTCGACCTGCATGGGCTAATGCACCCTGCCCCGCCGCCCACGCTTGTCATGCTCCACCCCCACCCCCAACCCCCACCCCCACCCCCACCGCCCCCACCCCCACCCCCCACGCACCCACTGGACCCATGGCTCCTGGCCCCATTGGCTCATGGTCCGCGGCCCATGGATGTGGCTTCTCAGCCACCACCCACGCACCACCGTTCCCCGCCCATCCGCCCTTCCCGCTCTCCCCTTGCCCAAGCCCCCCACGCACCCCGCCATGCTTCTCATGGACCCATGGTGTTGGTCCCATTCTTTATCCCTCGACCTGCATGGCTGCCAATGCTGGTCCTAGCATACTCCCCCCTTGCCCAAGCCCCCCACGCACCCCGCCATGCTTCTCATGGACCCATGGCTCCTGGTCCCATTCTTCATCCCTCGACCTGCATGGCTGCCAATGCTGGTCAAAAAAATGGCCCCTGCTCCACCCCCACCCCCAACCCCCACCCCACCCCGCACGCACCCTGCCACCCCCAACCCCCAACCCCCACCCCCACCCCCACGCACCCACACTTCCAACCCCCCCCCCACCCCCCCACGCACCCCGCCCCCCACTGGACCCATGGCTCCTGGCCCCATTGGCTCATGGTCCACGGCCCATGGATGAGAAGCCGACTTTAAAGGCCCCAGTGCATGTCCGGGCCCTCCGCCCGCTCCGCCCGCTCCGCCCTCCGCCCTTCCAGCTCATGCACCCATGGCTCCTGGCCCCATGGCTCCCCTCCGCCCCTACCCCGACCACCCACGCACCCGCTCCCCGCCCATCCGCCCTTCCCGCTCCGCATACATTCCCCTTGCCCAAGCCCCCCACGCACCCCGCCATGCTTTTCTTGGACCCATGGCTCCTGGTCGCATTCTTCATCCCTTGAGCTGCTCCACCCCCACCCGCAACCCCCACCCATACCGTACGCACCCAACCCCCACCCCCACCCACCCACACTTCCAACCCCCACCCCCACCCCCCATGCACCCCGCCCCCCACTGAACCCATGGCTCCTGGCCCCATTGGCTCATGGTCCACGGCCCATGGATGTGGCTTCTCGCTCCGCCCGCTCCGCTTGCTCCGCTTGCTCCGCCCTCCGCCCTTCCAGCTCCGCCTACTCCCCTCTGGCCCATGCTCCCACTCTCCATCCCCTTGACCTACCCCTCATGGACCCCCCCACGCCCCCCCACACCCCCCCTCCCCCTTGCCCCTCACGCACCCATGCCCCTCATGGACCCATGGCTCCTGGCCCCATGGCTCCCCATTCAATATCGTCCACGGCCCAAGCAGGTGGCTTCTCCACCCCTACCCCCACCACCTCTATCCTTCCCGCTCCGCATACTCCCTCCCTTGCCCAAGCCCCCCACGCACCCCGCCATGCTTCTCATGGACCCATGGCTCCTGATCCCATTCTTCATCCCTCGACCTGCATGGCTGCCAATGCTGGTCCGAAAAATGGCCCCTCACCCCCAACCCCCCCCACCCCGCACGCACCCTGCCCCGCCGCCCATGCTTGTCATGGACCCATGGCTCCTGGCCCAATGGCCCCCACCCCCAACCCCCACCCCCACCCCCACCACCCCCACCCCCACCCCCCACGCACCCCGCCCCCCACTGGACCCATGGCTCCTGGCCCCATTGGCTCGGCCCATGGATGTGGCTTCTCAGCTGACTTAAAAGCCAGCTCCGCCTACTCCCCCCTTGGCCCATGCTCCCACTCTCCATCGCCTCGACCTCCCCCGCTTGGCCCGCTTGCTCTACCCCCACCACCCCAAGCCCCCCACGCACCCGCCATGCTTCTCATGGACCCATGGCTCCTGGTCCCATTCTTCATCCCTCGACCTGCATGGCTGCTGGTCCTGGCATACTCCCCCCTTGCCCAACCACCCCGCCATGCTTCTCATGGACCCATGGCTCCTGGTCCCATTCTTCATCCCTCGACCTGCATGGCTGCCAATGCTGGTCCGAAAAATGGCCCCTGCTCCACCCCCACCCCCAACCCCCACCCCCACCCCGCACGCACCCTGCACCCACTTCCAACCCCACCCCCACCCCACGCCAACTTCCAACCCCCACCCCCACGCACCCCGCCCCCCACTGGACCCATGGCTCCTGGCCCCATTGGCTCGTGGTCCTTCTTTAAGGGCCCCAGCGCATGCCCGGGCCCTCCGCCCGCTCCGCCCGCTCCGCCCTCCGCCCTTCCAGCTCCGCCTACTCCACTCTGGCTCATGCTCCCACTCTCCATCCCCTTGACCTACCCCTCATGGACCCAGCTCCCTACCCCTTACCCCTCACGCACCCTCCCCATGATCCACACATTTGGCCTCGGGAAGGGGGTTTTGGGAGGGGGGGGGACTCCAGACTCCAGATTTCCAGAAAAAATCTGGAGTACCCAGCCCCGGACTCCAGACTCCAGATTTCTAGAAAAAATCTGGAGTACCCCCAGACTCCAGACTCCAGATTTCCGCACCCCCACTGGAGTACCTCCAGACTCCAGACTCCAGATTTCAAAAAAAAATCTGGAGTACCGGGACTCTGGACTCCAGATTCTGGAGTCTGTAATCTGGAGTGTGGGGGCGCGAGTACTCCAGATTTTTTCTGGAAATCTGGAGTCTGGAGTCTGGGGTCCCGGTACTCCAGATTTTTTCTGGAAATCTGGAGTCTGGAGTCCGGGGCCCGGGTACTCCAGATTTTTTCTGGAAATCTGGAGTCTGGAGTCCGGGGCCCAGGTACTCCAGATTTTTTCTGGAAATCTGGAGTCTGGAGTCCGGGGCCCGGGTACTCCAGATTTTTTCTGGAAATCTGGAGTCCGGGGCCCGGGCACTCCAGATTTTTTCTGGAAATCTGGAGTCTGGAGTCAGGGGCCCGGGTACTCCAGATTTTTTCTGGAAATCTGGAGTCTGGAGTCCGGGGCCCGGGTACTCCAGATTTTTTCTGGAAATCTGGAGTCTGGAGTCTGGGGTCCCGGTACTCCAGATTTTTTCTGGAAATCTGGAGTCTGGAGTCCGGGGCCCGGGTACTCCAGATTTTTTCTAGAAATCTAGTGTTTAGGGTTTAGTGTGTAGGTTTCAGGGTTTAGTGTTTTGTGTTTAGGGTTGAGTGTTAAGTTTAGGTTTTAGGGTTGAGGGTCAAGCGGCTCGGCTAAAACCCAAATAAAACCCTAAACTCTGAAATCCAAACAGTAAGCATCTGAAACGCCGACGGGCTTTTGGTTTCAGGTTTAGATTTAGTAGGGCTCGAGGTTCTGGCCTTGGGGTTTGCTGTTTAGGGTTTAGGGTTTAGTGTCTAATGTTTAGGGTTTAGTTTGAAATGTTTAAGGTTTAGTTTTTGGGTTAAGTGCTTCAATGTTTAGGGTTTCGTGCTAAGTGTTTGGGGTTTGTGCTAAGGGCTTAGTGTTAAGTTTTTAGGGTTAGTGTTTAGGGTTTAGTGTTGAGGGTTTCGGGTTTGGGTTTTAGGTTAAGGGTTTTAAGGATTTTTACAAATTTAAATTATCTGGGGAAGGCACCGGGGCTGCCCCAGACCATTGACAACTTAAAAAATCATTCTGTTTAGGCTTTAGGGTTTAGTGTGTAGGGTTTAGTGTGTAATGGTTAGGGTTTAGTTTGTAGGGTGTAGTGTTTAAGTGTTTAGGGTTTAGTGTTTAGTAAGGGTTTAGTGCTTAAGTGTTTAGGGTTTCGTGTTCAGTGTTTGGGGTTCGTGCTAAGGGCGTAGTGTTAAGCTTTTAGGGTTAGTGTTTACGCTGGTGTTTAGGGTTCAGTCCTAAGGGTTTCGGTTTTTTTTGGGTTAAGGGTTTAGTGTGTAGGGTTTAGTGTGTAATGTTTAGGGTTTAGTTTTTAGGGGTGCTTAGGTGTTTAGGGTTTCCTGTTAAGTGTTTGGGGTTTGTGCTAAGGGCTTAGTGTTAAGTTTTTACGGTTAGTGTTTAGGGTCTGGTGCTGAGTGTTTAGGGTTTAGTAGTGCTTAAGTGTTTAGGGTTTCGTGTCAAGTGTTTGGGGTTTGTGGGCCTAGTGTTAAGATTTTAGGGGCAGTGTTTAGGGTCTAGTGCTGAGTGTTTAGGGTTTAGTGTGAAGGGTTTCAGTTTGGTTTTTTGGATTTAGGGTGTTAAGGATGTTTACTAGTGTTCAGGGTTTAGTGTGTAGGGTTTAGTGTGTAATGTTCAGGGTTTTGTTTTTAGGGTGTAGTGTTTGAGTGTTTAGGGTTTCGTGTTTAGGGTCTAGTGAGTCTAGTGCTTAAGTGTTTAGGGTTTCATGTTAAGTGCTTGGGGTTTGTGCTAAGGGCTTAGTGTTAAGTTTTTGGGTTAGTGTTTAGGGTCTGGTGCTGAGTGTTTAGGGTTTAGAGCTAAGGGTTTCGGGGTTGGATTTCAGGGTTAAGGGGTTTGAGGGTTTTTGCAAGTTTACATGATCTGGGGAAGGAGGCACTGGGGCTTCCCCAGACCCACCTAAACATTAAAAATCCTTAAAATCTTATAAAATCGTTAAGCTTCTGTTTAAGCATTCTCAGGATTATGAAGGTTTTAAGCCGTTTAAGCCTTTTAAAGACCTTAAATTGCTTACGTATTTAAGTGGCTGCACTTTGCGGATTTTAGAGATTGTTGAAGTTGCCAATGGTCTGGAGAAGCCCCGGTGCCTTCCCCAGACAATATAAAATTTTTAAAATCCGTAAAACCCTGAAATTCTTACAGTTGTAAATGGCTGTCCTTTTAAAGTTTAAAGATTTTAGGATGTTCAATTCTAAAATCCGTAACTTCCTTAATTTTAAACGGCTGCCCGTTTTAAATTTTAAAGAATTTTAGGCTTTTAAGGGATAAACGTTTCGAGGTTGTTAAGGGCTTTAAAGCCTGTTAAGATCCTTTAAATCTTGAAAATTTTGAAAGGCTTTAAATACCTTAAAGCCCTTCAAATTTGAAAAGGGCTGCCCCTTTTAAGGATCTCTAATATTGCAAATGGTCTGGGGAAGCCCCGGTGCCTTCCACAGATCATCTAAATTTTTACAAACCCCTAAAACCTAAAACCAACCCTGAAAAGCCTTAAGCTTCTAAATGGCTACCCTTCTAAAATTTTATAGAGCCGCATAACACAAGTTTCAGAAGCAAAATGCACATAAAAACACTAGGTGTTTTTATAGAGGATAATATAATAATAGAGCTTTTTGTATTCCAGTGCAGTTTTTACTGCATTTTCCGGTGAAAAAACAGAAAATCAGACAAAGACGAAGACAGGAAAACCATAGGTGTGGATCATGGGGGGGGGGCTGACCATATATATATATATATACATAATCCGCGGCCGGAGCCCACAGTGCCTTGGCCCCCCTTGGAGGGGGTCGGCGGCACTGGCGGTAGCCATTAAATAAACAAAGACACACTACGGGCCTGTCTTGAGAGTAAGACGCATGACACGCCCGTAGAATGCAGACAAAACAAGGTTGTTTTACGTTTTCTTTTGCCTTATCTGAATCTTATAGGAACATGCCTGACTTCCTAAGATCCACCCCATTCGTGAACTTAGTTTGGGATGTTCCACCTTATACTAACTGTCTATAATAGGGATTATAAGTACTAGATTCAAGCACTCCAGTGATACTCTACTGGACTCTCTTCGCAGGATTGTCTGCAGGACTTTTCTCTGGGGGTGTGTGCACTCCAAAAGTACTCTGCAGGATGCTTTGCCAGAGCTAGTACAGGAAACCTGGGCGAGAATCGCTGAGTCAAATTCAGAGGGCGGGGAAAAATGACAATGGCAAAAACACTGTCAGGATTGATCAGCTTCCATTAAAGCTTCATTGCGAGTTATGTTCATTCTTGACTACTTGTCACGGTCTGAACTTATCATCAAAAACATCTCAGCATGTTATGTTGAAATCAAGCAAGTATAGTCAAGAAGCATAGTGAGACATGTTAAGACATTGCTCAAGGCGTTCCGCAAGAGGAGCTGTACATAAAGCAATCGATTTTACATATGCTGCCCTTTTTACTGATGCGGGGGGGGGGGGGGGGAGAATCTGCAACTCGTTGAAACGAATCCTCAGCCCTAATCCTTGGCCACGGGTTCAGGGTTTGCACAAAAAAGCGGCACTATTTACCCTCATCTGCACAGGAACAACAACTCAATGAACACGAGGGTAGGTGCCCGTGCTTATCCGTGGGCGGAAGCCTCCTTAACCTAGCTTTCGTGACTTGCAGCTTCACAAGTGCAGCGTGGTGCTCACTCGGAAAGACCCTGAATCCAAAACCCCAGCCCTAAGCCCCAAACCCCCCTGCTGCCCTCAGCGTGCCTCACGCTCGCGATAGACCTCTTGCAGAGAGGCAGCAATGGCAATGAAGGGAACGCCAAGGTTCAAGTTCATCCACGGTCAGGCATTGCGCATGGGTGCCAATCTGCATGTTCTGCGCCAGGTTGCGTTGTGTTGGGACACGCTCGGCCAGTCTGCATAAAGCTTCGGCGCCAACTAGTCAACATGCTGGAAGCGTCGTGGTGTTGCATGGTACCAACAATGGTGCATATAAGGAAGGGCAGGGAGCAGCAGGCGCATTGATAACACGCTAACCAACCGCCTGTAATCAAGGCAAAATAACGGGGCCTGAAGAGTTCGTACTCTCCCGAAGATGGAACCTTCCACGAGCTCCTCCGAGTTTCGGACTCCCGCATCGTTGCCGCGTGAGAAGTAGATGCGCTCGAAGGAGCACTGCTTGAAGGCCTCGATCGGCTCTTTGTTTTTCAGAGATCTGGGGCCGTGGGTTTTGGAGGTTGATTTTAGGAACTGCAAAGGACACCTTCGCAGATCTTCAGCACTTTAGGCCGCGGCGCCCCACCCACCACGATGACCAGGCACATGTTGTTTTTGGATGGTTTTGGTTGAGCTTCTTTCCAGGGCATCGATAGGGACTCAAGGCCGGGGACCCCGGCAAGGGGCACGAGGATCTGCTCCAGAGTCCAGGCCCCGCTCCTGGACTTTGACTTGAAGCACCGCGACAAGTCCAGGCAGCTCTCAAAAACCATGGGGGGCAGTGAAGCGTCAAGAGGTTTCAGAACTACATACTGTTCAGAACTGTACTGGTAGTAGTCTGCACTGCTGCACTGCTCGTACATGACTACAGCATGCAACCCGGCAGTGAGGTTAGGGACTTTGCGTTTCAGGCTTAATTGCCTTTCTTGTGGACACCTCAGAGCCCCCGGTAGTTCAGTTTCAGTCCAACCCCTGAAACGCCATGGGAGGATGCGAAAGGCAACAAAATGGAGTCTTCCTTAACCGGTGAGGAGAGAAGGATCTGAAGGATCTGGCCCGGGCCACCTCTTGATGCACAGCGCCTGTCCGGGAGGAAGCGGATGCACCTTCTCCTGCTGGCGCGCAAAGACGGCAGCTAAAAGGGTGAGCAGAAAAAGGAGAGCAGATAGGAGAGAAACGGGGGGGAGCAGATCCCACAGTGGGCAGTTCTCAGCCTCGGCTCTCGGAGATGGGGCCGCCCTTTCTCATGGCCCCTCGCTTTATCAGCTTAATGAAACGCCGACCCCCGCCTCCTGCACACCGAAGACGGTCTGGATCAGAGGCGCCTCCGAGCACACCGTGATGAAGTCCTCCGCTTGGGCTGCTGAAGGGCTTGGGAGGCTCCTTCAAGGGGGCTCAGGCATTCCACCTCCGCCATCCTCGAAGTTGTTCCGTTTCCAGTTCGGATCTCCGAAATGTCAGCACAACAGGGTTCAGGCCTTTACTTGGAGGTGCGGGGGCGCAGTTGCAAAGTATAATTGTAAGGCGATGATGGGACGTCATGGAACCTACCCAGCTGAAAGCCCGTCTGGAACTTTCCTACACCTTGCACACCACCATATACTCTTAACATCAACCGGGAACAACTGCCCCACGACACAAGGTTGAATTCAATGTTGCATCAAGGCTCGTCATCGGCATAGTAGAAAGCTGGCCGAATTCCGCTGGGGTCCCGCCTCAGTCACTTCACAGGAGGGAGATCTACAGATTTGAGATTCTTGCCAGAAACTGCACAAAAAAAATATTTTACTTCGAACATCCTCACCCTCTCTTGGCAGAGATACTCTGGGGTTGGGCACTCCAGGGACACTCTGGGGCTGGGCACTCCGGGGGGACACTGTGGGGTTGCAGGAAGGCTCTGCGGTTGGGCAATTGAGGGAGACTCTGGGGCTGGGCACTCCGGGGACACTCTGGGGTTGGGCACTCCAGGGAGACTCTGAAGTTGGGCGCTCTAGGAAGGCTCTGGGGCTGGGGGGACACTGTGGGGCTGGGCACTCCAGTCCAGGGAGACCACTCCGGGGACCCTGGGGTTTAGGGAAAGAGTTTAAAATCTAACAATCCCACACCGAGGGTGCGGAAAAACCTGCAGATCTCTGGGCTTTCCCAGCATGACGAAGGCATCGCCGTGGCCAAGGAGGCCGGCGATGCAGTAGCCACCGTCCCAGAGGCTGGAGGCCTAGGCTCGATTGAAGCTGAAGCTGAAGTTGAACATGTTGAAATGAAACGACTGAATGGGATGTTGGGGCTTCGGGGTTCAGGATGGTTGAGGTTCGTTGAGGGCTTTGCGGCTCTTTCAGGCTCCGGGTTGCGGGCTCTTGGAGGTTTCGGGTTTGCGGCCTTTGCGGTCCCTTTGCGGCCTTTGCGGCCTTTGCGGCCTTTGCGGCCTTTGCGGCCTTTGCGGCCTTTGCGGCTCTTGCACTTGGGATTGGTATCGGCTCCGTCGGAGCTGACGAATGTGGGGCCTTTCCATGCCTCAGAAAATCTCTTTTGTCAACGATGTCACTCTGTCCGCATCACTGAACGAGCCGCAACCGACTTCGTAGTAGAAGCCCTCAGTACTCCTCCCCTCCCCCCCGCCAAACTCTGGATTCGTCATTCATGCCCGGGCCGTCACACCCGGCGGAGGATCCGGGCAATGTTGATGTTCTCGGCGATGAGGCCTAAGTTTTGTGGCGTGGTGGCCGCGGCAAAGGGATTGAGTTATATTGACTTGTTTGCTGAGGGGATTCTAACATCAAGTACTCGGACCTTCACCCCGATGCCGACTTGATCCAAGACAACTTGGGGGTGCTTCGGCCAATATCTGATGTACCTACCGTAGCATTTACTTGCCCTTGTGCAATCGTTACGCAGCTACACCTCAAAGGTCTCAAAGTGTGCGTAGCCACTAGGCGTTGCCTGTGACAAACGCCTTTCAGCTTGACTAAACTCTTGAAGCTGACAGGAGGGTCAACGGTCAACCATGATCGTGGCCATTTCTCAACATTGCGCTTCTTGCGCGGACTCAGGAAAGAAAGCCAAAGCTAACTCTGGGCCGCCCAGCTGAAGCAGGTCTGCGGGCTGTGGCCGGCAGCCGAGTACTTCACGTAGAGGTCGTTGTTCTCCTCTACGCCATGGCCCGGTTAAGCTGAGTGGATTGGCTGCTTAGTCGTGTGTCTTTCAAGTTTGGCAGCTCTTGGCGCCCATGCCCTTTATGCCCTGAATGCCCTTACTGAAGCCTACATACCCAACAAGCGTCGCAGCGTTCCTTGTCCACGAAGTGGCCGATCTTCTCCAACAGCATGACCTGGGAACAACGTCTCAAGCTTTCAGACTTGACTCCTGCGCTGCTGGAGTGCCTAGACGTGCATTGGGGCGCCGGTAGCCCTGTGAAGCAGACTTTGCATGGCTTACGTGCCCGAATTTTCCGAGGCCCAGGGCGGTGTCCGACAGCTCCCGGGGATGCTGACCCAGCTGCACAAGACTCCCGAAGAGGTCCTGGCAGCTTGTTGTATTTCATGGGAAGCACTGGACCTGGTGAGCTTTGCCAAGTCTCAACGTTGAGAGAGCCGCTCTCCTCGTTGTTGGTGATGTTGAAATTTCCAGCCAAGATGAGGTTTCCTGGGCAAGGCTGAGAGATAGGGGTTGAGCATCAGACTACGAAACCCAAATCCTAACCTTCAACAATCCTAGATGCCTGCAAGCGGTTAAACTCCAGCCCAACACGCCGGGGAGCGGGTCATCCAGTTGCTCTCGCGCGTTACCGGGTGGCACCTGGACAGCTGCGGCTTCGGAGACTTCAGGGGCAGTTCGGGCTTTGTAGGCTGTCCTTTCACAAGTTAGCTCGGGTTCCTTCCGAGGCTATGCGGCGAAAGGAGGCTTGGAAGTTGGCTGCAAGGTTGAGTTATGCCAGCAAGCTGATTTCGGGGGGGGCTGTTGAAAGGCGCGAGCCTATCAAGGCTGTTCTCGGAGTCGGTGCCATAGCGGACATGGGCCAAGTAGGCTTCACCACAAAAGGGGATGTTGTCCTTGACCCACCTGTCGGAATGGGCTCCAAGACGGCCCCCCCAAACCAGAGAGCGCTCAGAAGGCTCCGTTGCCTGGGGTCGACCTGCTCCTTTCCGTTGGGGCCGCTGGGGATCCGCCTCAGTCGGAGTCACCGAGGCGGGACAGTTTTTTCTCTTTGCGCGACGTGCCTTCAAAGGAGCCATATATGTTCTGAGCTTCAAGGGACTGTGGCTCTCAGGCTCTCAGAGCCCCGAGATCCCAACGCATCTCGCGGGGCTTTCTGCAGCATGGCCGTGGCCTGACAGAAGCGCTTGTGGTGTACACCACTCCAACCCCACGGACCTTATAGCCCAGACCCTTCCGAGCTCGTGAGCCTGTTTCAAAGCAGCATTCTGGCATTCCGCCCCCCAAGTCCGAAGCCCAACCTTCTAATAACTACTAGAAGGGCAGGATGCCTGCTTCTCCACGCGCCCGAAAAGGTCCCCAATGGGATCAGCGGCGATTGACTTCTCGCAATGGAGATACCTGCCAAAAGCAGCGCAGCGAGAGCAAGTAGGGTGCGCAGGGCCAAGATCCGCAAGAGGTGTACGAAATGCAAGTTTATACAATAGAGCCCTGTTTCCACACGGAACTCCTTACAACGGTTCCCACGACTCGGCTACACATAATTACGCAAATAACACGCGAAAAACCCTCTAAGAGTAACACGAAGTAACATCCGAAGGAGACCTGGTTCCCGGAGGCATGTCCAACTTGACATTCGCCACGCCAGCTCCGTCCTGGCCACCTAAGTAGGGCCAAAACTGCAGAGGTGACTGTAGCGACTGACGAAATTCCGGAGTTCTTGGATGTTCGGAATGTCCTAGGATAGGGCCATGAGCCCCACCCCCCCCGCCCCCCCCCCCCCCCCCCCCCCCCGCCCCCCAAACATCCCCAAACTGCCCGGAAAGCCTTGCAAATCTTTGTGCAGCAAGGCCGCGATTCCGCTGCTTCTCCATGAGCAGGTGCATGCGGTTGAGGCCTTGGGCTCAGGACCTTGGGGTCCTCATTGTCCGCTGTTGGCTGCTAGGGATGGCAAGGGTCAACATTGTTTGTTGGCTTTAACCCCAAGAGGACGCCCTGTGAAAGTAGCTGGAGTTGCACCTTGACTGCCCTCGATTGCTTACAACCAGGAAATGCGCAATTGCATTTGTTTCGGGCATCTTTCCACATCAGTACATGACCTTGCAGACGCTGTATGGGGCTTGCAAGCTCACGAGAGTGTGCCCAGTGTAGCCATCCTTTGGCGTGCAGGATCACCCTGCTCGAGTCTGCCTGCTGTGCTGGAAAAATTGGGATTTTCTCTGTGCTGCTTGAACTGCTGAGACGATGGCGGGCCCTGGAGGGGCCCCCGAGCCCCTCGGCCAACGAGCGAAGCATTTCAGCCCACAAAGCCCTCTGCGAAGGCGAAGCTCTGGCGAAGCTCTGGCGCAGCTCTGGCGAAGCTCTGGCGAAGCTCTGGCGAAGCTCTGTGAGTTCCGTCTGAGCTCCCGTGCCGAAGAAGTGCGTTCCATACTTCTCAAGGTAATACCTCAGGCGGTCAGAGAGCAAGGACTGGCGAGGACGGGAGAGGACTGGAGAGGTCAAGCCGTCTGCGAGTAAGTCCCTCAGCCACAGATCCCAAGGCGGTGTCATCAGGTTTTGGGGGCCCAACTCTGGTGGCTTCAACAAGCGCAGCATGGCGAAGCCGCACTCATGCCTCAGGCTCAGGTGCTCGGATCTCTGGCAGTCTTTTGAGTTGAGGTCACTGGACTTTCTGCTGGGGAAAACTCTCGGAGGTCTCGGGCTTCTGGGCGCTTGGCCCTGAGCTTTTTGGTAGGTAGCTGACGCCCCACGTACTTGTCTAGAACGTTTATGCGGGCTTCGGCTGTTAGAGCCTAATCACTTCCACTGCTTGCGCATGTGCATGAGGCTAGTGGCAGCTGAGTTCCGGACCCAATGTCGTCACCCATGGCAGCAAGAGCAGGACGCAAGGGGTTCTCCGAACCGGTGGCCCTTCCCTTTCCTCTGTGTTTCAATCCCCGCTTCAACTGGGCGGATGTCGTGCTTGAGGCGGCGACAGGTGCGTCTGTGGGAGATGGGCAGGGCAACACAGCAGCCTGAGAATCTTAACCAAATCAACAGTCAGCGGTAGGTTGGGTAGAAGGATCCGGGAAACCCATCAATATCAGGTCATGGGCTGGAGATTCAGGGGCTTCAGGGGATCGGGAATGCCTTGACCCTTCTGCCCTCGTCAACGTGAAAGAGCGAAAACTCCCTAAGACCACAAGGCCCATACTTGTTCAATCACGAACTTATGAGCCTCCCAGCATCCCAGCAAGCACGCAAGCCACCTAAGCTTGGGGCCTAAAGTTAGGTGTGAGTCCTTCGTGCAGCAGGCCCGCCAGTAGCGGCAGAAGTTGACGCGCACATCGTTCTCACTGCACGGAGACAGAAATTTGGCGGCAAGAATGTGATAAGCTTGCTGCATGTTGCCATCACTATCTCTGAGGGGCCCATGAGGGGTGCCCATTGTCACCAGGAACGGAAACCGATTTTGCAACCTGCAAAACCCTGCATTTCCAAACTCACTCGGGCCTCGAGTGCCACATCTCATGCACGGAACCCTAATCCGGCTAATCCGCAAAAATCCTGTACCGAGTACAAAGAGTACAAAGAGTACAAAGCCTGAGGTCGTAATAAAGGCCGTGGTCCAGCAGGACGAGCTGCGGGTGCAGCGTCCCACCTGCTTCAAGACACTTTGCCAGATTAGACGGACTAGAATTTCACAGAATTCATAACGTCACGTGGGGTCTGACACAAATCCAAAAAATGTTGGCAACACGCGCAAGTTTTGTGTTGTCAGCACTTTCGTCCACGCTGGCAGCTCAGCAAGCAACAACAGTTTTGGGAGCCCGCCAAGAATAAAGGCCAATGTACTTCGACGGGCTCCGCGATGCAGCCTCCCCTCTGATGTCACCTGGTCTTCTTGCTCTTCTTCCCGTGTGTGGTGGCGCTCTTCCCTTTCTTGCTCTTGGACTTGTTCAATCGACCGCTGTCGGGCCGAGGCCCGGCCAAGACAGAAAGCCTTGCAGTATCAGACCTGGTCCCGATGGTACGTGCTCCCTTCCAACCACGGCTTCTGACACCACTGGCAAAAGAAGTCCCCCGTCAGAACACCCTTTTGCATGTCTTCAGCAACCCGCTCGGCGTCACATGACTTTGATGACTTTGGAGGAACTTCTTTAGATGGCCGTGGCGGAGCATGGCCATCGGCCGAAGATTCCGCCTCACGAAAACAGCGGCGGATACACAACACATTTCAGCCTCTCAGAAGGCCTGAGATGATGTGTAAGCTGCTTTGTGCCTGCGTTTTGCGGACTTTTGTGAAAGTTGAATTTGGTCAGGCCCGAGATCTGACAGGATAGTATGACCAGCATCCAATGCCATCCGGGTTACCTTTGAAGCCAGCAACCCGCGCAAGACCAGCCGACAACCACAGACACGGGGCACGGCCCTTTCTCCCTCTCGCGCTGGCGTCCTGGCGACTGCGGTGCCTTCGGCTGACTACAGACCAAGTTTCACTCCGCAGCTTTAGATCACGGGGCTTAAGGCGCTTTAAGGGGCTTGTGGTTTCGAGACTCAGGGAACTGCCAAAACACCAGCGACGGAGCCGCGCCGCCACCCAAAATGCTGTAGGGGAAGGAACGTTACTTGTGGCTAAGCTGAAATTGCAGCTAACAGCCCCTTGTGCAATGGCTACTTAAAGCTCTTCTATTGTTGTCGTTGGGAGGGAGGGGGGGAAGTGTTTTCGCTTCACCACGAGCGCGAAGGTGGTCCAATCGGCTTTCTGCGGATTGCCTGCCGCGCTGGCCTCCACACAGGCATGGCCCGCTTATTCACTCTCGAATGCTCTTGCTGCGAACATACCACCCCTTCATCCCTCTTTTGCCTCGACCTGTTGCACCTACTTGAAAATGTGCACGCCCCACTGCGCATTGGGCCCGTGGGCCTCCCTTCTGAACTTTCCACACTTCTCGATACTTCTCGGCACAGCAAGTGTCCGGACCTGCGTCTTCCGCACGTGTCAGGGCGCATCCTGAGCTGTCTCTGCCTCAACCTGAGCTGGTATTGTGAAAGACTTCGGGTTGTCGAGATTCATCGAACTTCAATAGTATAACTTCAGAACTACAACGCACCAACCCAACTTCAACGCATCCCGAACCCATACGCCCGCGGGACCCACGAGAGGTACTCGGAATTGCCACCGAGCGCAGTCCTGAGAGAGAGGCAAAAGGCATAGGAAGTTGAGAACCCTCCTGGACAAGGGGTTGGGGAATCGTCTTGTGTAGCACACACTGTCGGTCCAGTCAATGGAAAGGCTGCCGCCCTCCTCCTTCAGCCAGGCCTGGCGAGCAGTGGGAGATAGAGGGGGTGGGGGAACTTGTTTCAACCTCCTTCGTTACACGTTTTGGGGAGCCTCTTGCTTTCCTTCTTCTGATTCTTCTTTTCTTGGGGAGAAGGTGGGGCTAGCGGACCTAGCCTCGAGTTGTTGCGCTCTCGCCTCGGTCCCGTGCATGCTCTCCTCGTGCGAAGCGCAGTTGCTGGTCGTCCCTGTTTATGTCTGAGAATTGCTGGGTGCTCGTGGAGAGGCTTCGCAGGGCACCGCGCAAGACTTTTCTTTCTGTCGTTCTTTGTTTATGTCTTCTTCCTCAACCGCTACTACCCTATGTCTTCAACCGGAAAACCTCTCTTCCCCCCAAATTTCATAGGAAAGGAAGCCCAGGACCAAAGCAAAGGGACAAAACGCAAAACAAGACTAAACAAAAAAGTGTGTTAGAGCGAAGGGTTCCAATGTAGAGTCAGGTTCTGTCTCTTTTCTCTCTTTCGTTCTGTCCTTCTTCATTAAATATTTCGTATTTCTCTCGTTCTGCCTTTCTTTCTCTCCTTCTGTCCTGCACTTCAATCGTTCGTTCCCTTCTTTCTTTCTCTACTTCTTTCGTTCTAGCCTTTTGCTTGGGAAAGCAGCCCCTCCAGAAAGAAATGATTACCGGCTGCTACCGTGCCTCAACGCCTTTGCGGCCGGCGGCCGTGGTGTGCAGCACTGCCGTGCCCGCAGCCTGAAAGAAGCGGTTTCCAAAGGCAGTTCCCAAGGACTCAAGCTGTTCAGAAAGGTTTTCAGATGCGCGATTTTCCAATTGGGGCATGTGGGAAGCTGTACTTATCGCATGGTGAAGCTTTCAGATCCCTTGTTGAGGCTTCTTGCCCACTCGAGGCCCCTGCGGCTTGAAGTCGACCATCACTCCCACTTTCCCCGGACACTCTCATGCCAAATCCAAAAACGCAACTGGCGTAAGTGACGCAAGTGATGCAAGTGACGTCAGCCCCCCCAAAAAACGTCTTTTTGCAGAGCTCCAAAGCCAGGGCCAAACCTGACATTTCTGCCTCCTCGACCTCCACGGCAGCACAGAGCCGCGCTTCCAGCAACCGCTCTGTGGTGCTGGTGAGTTCCTCGAAGTTTGGCTTGAAGGGTTTTTGAGACATTTTGAGGGTCTCGAGACGGTCTCGAGGTTTGTTGAAGGGTTTGGGGCTTGCGAGAGAGCTACAAGCTCACAAATGGAAGTGTACTCCACCGAACCCAGAATTCGCATTGCACCAAGGCCATGAAGCCTCATAAATCTCAGCAAGGAATCCTTCAACCTAACCTGCGTCCCAAAAGTTCAGGCCAGACATTTCCCTCCTCTGACGTCGCCCCAGTGAGCGCGCCGCGGAAGAACCTGCCATGAGACTGGTTTTTGGCTGGAAATCCATTTTGGGAGATCCCTTTTGATTTGGGACTTTTTTGTTTGTCGGGTTTGGCTCTTGTCCCGCAAGCTCATTCTCTATGTTTTAACAGGAGAACCTCCGTCTATACTCTCATCAGAAAACTCTATTTTCTCTGCACTCATTGGAGGAAAACTTGTATTGTCTGTGTTTTTGATGGAATAGGAATTCCTTTTCATGGGACAACCTCTGTTTTCTCTCCACATATTCTTGTGCGTTCTGTACATTTGAGTAGAAACATCTGTATTCCCTCTACATGTGAAGACAGACAGAAGGCAAAAAACAAAAACACAAACCATAACGCTGGCATGCCCGGTTTAGAAAGGATTCGTGCGTTTTAAATGTAAGTTCTCTTCATGGGCTGATGGACGACAAGGCAAGTTTGCACGGGTTAAAGATACAAAAAGCGGGGAGGTTGGGCGGCCGTCGATCTAGATGCAAAACGCCGCGGGGCGGGTGTGGGTGGGTGCGTGGGTGGGTGGGTGGGTGGGTGGCATAATCGCTTCCAAAATGTATGTTCTCATATAAATAACGTAAACATTTACTCATTTAGCAACTCAATAATGTTTATTATGCAATATCATAATAAACAGGTCTATGGCAGGAAAGCAGAAAAACACAAACATCTATTCATATAATCGAAAAGGAACACGAATCTAATAACCTAAAAAGACAACTGCATCATCAAAATGATGTGATATATATATATACATATTATCATATATGTATATATAATCATCATCAGTATCATCATCATCATCATCATCATCATCAAGCAACAAAGCAGTACAAAAACAACATTAACTTGAAAAAACAAACTATTCATACAATAATACAACAATGCCATACGATAACGGGCTCCCACCCGCACCTCCTCAGCGAACACAATAATACAATAGTGCGATCATTAAAATCGTATAGCCAGAAAATCATATATTCATGTAATCAAGAAAGCAAATAATCAAGAATCAAGTAAATCAAAAAATCATACAATGATAGAAAATAATCATGTAACCATATAATCATAAAATCACAGAATCAGAAGTATAGAATCATAGAATCATAGAATCATATAATCATAGAATCATATAATCATAGAATCATAGAATCATATACTCATATTGATATCATGCTACAAATATGACAAGATAACCATAAAAGATAATCATAAAAGAAACAAAGACAACAAGCTAATAGGAGAATAAGATAAGAAGAAATGATAAGATAATAAGATAATAAAATAACAAGGTAATAAGATAATCAGATTAGTCAGAGAATCAGATAATCAGACGATCAGATATCAGATAATAAGATCATAAGTTACGAAGACAATATGAACACTAAGATACTAACACACTTGTATAATCATATAATCATACATTCATATAAAAGCTATGACTATACAAATATCATAGTATACCAATGATTTATAACAAAGAAATAGGATTTCCTATTTAAATATAGAGAACATGCATGTTTCCTACCAAAATTTGGAGAAAATCAAGTATTTCTATAAGTTTTAGAGGTCAACGAAGTTTTCCGAATAAACGATAGAGAAAATAAGGTTTTCTTCTATGTGAAAAAGAAGTAGTTTACGGACTTGCGGGACAAAAGCCAAACCCTGAAGAAACAAACAAAATCACCAAAAACACCTTCTTCCTGCCTTTGCGACAGCCCTGCGAAGCCCTATGCGCCCATGCCCCCGTGAAGCCCGAGCACAATTTCGAGGGCAAACATGCGCCACCCGCCATCTTTCAAGAAACTGGACTGCTCTTTGCCTCAGGCCTTCTCGATCTTGGACCCTGAATCGAGAACAGCCAAACTTCCAACCTGGGACTCCTCAACCCAAATCGCTTTTGAGAAAAGTCTAGGGCCCCGGACTGCGCGTCACCATCGACGTCCAAGCCCTCGACGAGGATCTCGGGGGATGTACTCAAGTGCAAATGTTTCTTCCGGATTCCTCCTCCCCTGAATTTTTGTCCGACGTTCTCGCATCAAGGTTCAGGGGGCACCTGGCATGTATTTATCCTGAGCTGGAACTGCGCAGCGCCAGGTGAGGGCCTGTGCTGTCCTACAAAGTCCTACACATCTTAACATCTCAACCTCCACCCATCTTCGCTTGCTCAGCCTCCGCGTTTTCGAACGTCCCCGTTGCTCATTTTCACGTTGCTTGCGTGTGGACGGGTCTTCAAAGCGGTCGCGGATGCCCCCTCCGTGACTGGCTGGGTGCTCGTTGCAGCGCTTGGGTTGACTTCCGACTATCAAAGCCTGGCCACCGACAACAATTTGGCACTTGCAAGGCCTCTCTGGTACTTGACGACAGGCCAGACTTACAAGATACTCGCGAGTCCCTGTCTTTATGCAAGCTGTTGTGCACAAGCTAGCACCTTTCTTCCCGTTCCCTGTGTAGCCCCCAAAAAGAGATGGTGCCCCATAGACCTGTACCACGATGAGCATCCCAAGCATGATTCATGTGCGATTCCATCGACCGTAGACAAAGCTCAGGGGCTGAGGGCCGATCAAAGGGCTGTACCCAGAAATCCTGAGCTGCCCCGCCATGGGCATTTCATCCTCCAGCGCTTCGCCCATCATCGAGGACACGAGCAGCATGGACCTACGAAGATTACTCTCAGGACTTTTTTGACTGTGAGAGCCTGATTCAGGTTGGAAACGTTGGAAACGTTGGGAACGTTGGGAACGTTGGGAATGCCCAGAACTTTCAGGTCTTTCGGCATTCTGGGGCATGGCTTGCGGGGCCCATGTTTAGCGGCGGGTTGACGTAAGTTTGAGGGTCAAAGCTGACAGTTTTTGGGGCAAAAAAGCCAACAAACGAGAAGCACACGAACAAGCTTCACGGCTTCGGATTTTGCGGTACGGTGTGCTGGGAAAAAGTGCAAAACTTGCGCCTGGGCGGAACCCACAGCGCCAAGCGTGTGGCCTCGGCGCCTGTGCCGCGCCGCAGCCAACGCACCGGCGATTCCTGGCAACGCGAAAGGCTTTCGGTGGCTTTCAGCAGCTTTCATGCTTCAGGGGTTTTTGTCTGGCACTAGCTAGTCTTCATCACTGCTGCCACCGCCACCACCACCAGCACCGCGACCACCGAGACCACCACCCTTCTCGTTACTAGGACATGATGGAGTTCCAATACGAAGCTCAAAGCGCAGAGCTTGAGGCGCTGGGGCCGAAGCAGCATCTTCGTCTATCAAGGCTTGGCAGTGCACGCTTTGCTCTGAGAATTGGTGCGGTAAAGATCAACAGCCTGCGTGAAGGCTTCGGGGTATCATGTCGTTGCCAACGGGTCAAACCCGCCCCACCTCCAATCGAAGGCCTTCCGAGATTGCCATGATCGCACCTTGGTTCGCGAGCCCAAGTAGAGAAAACTTGAGATACATGAATAAAAAGCTCTCTAAACTCTAAACTTATCTAAATTCAAGAGGAATGCATTGTGTAGAAGTTGAGATGTGTGCAGTGGAGGGGTTTCTGTGTGCGCGGTGTGTGCGAACAGTGTGTGCGTACGGTACGCGCAGTGTGTGCGTACGGTGCGCGCGAGGTGTGCGTACGCTGCGCGCGGTTTGTGCGGACAGCACCCGCGGTGTGAGCGTACAGTGCGCGCGGTGTGTGCGCACGGTGCGCGCGGCAAGTGCATGCGTACGGTGCGTGCGGTGTGCGCGTACGGTGCGCACGGTGTGCACATGTGCGTACGGTGCGCGCGGTGCGTGAGTACAGTGCGCGTGGCGGTGTGCACGTACGGTGTGAGCGGTGTGTGCGTACGGTGTGCGCGGTGTGTGCGTACGGTGCGCGCAGCCTCGCCGCGTGCACTGCATGCATGTACGCACACTGCGCGCACCGTACGTGCACACTGTGCGAAAAAAAAACACGACCAATTTTGCAAAAAACACGACCAATTTTGCAAAAAACACGACCAATTTTGCAAAAAACACGACCAATTTTGAAAAAGCGTACGGTGTGCAACGGGTGCGCGCGTGGTGCGCGTACGGTGCACGCAGTGCGTGCGTGCAGTACGCACCCACCCTACGCACACACATGGCGTACCATACGCACACACACCGCGCGTGCTGTATGCAGACACCGCACGCACCGTACGCACACACCGTACAGACGCGCGCACACACACACACACACATGTACCGTACGCGTACACCGCACGCACCGCACGCACACACCGCGCGCAAAGTATGTTCATACCGCACGTGCTGTACGCAAACACCGCGCGCACCGTACGCACACACCGCGTGCACCGTACGCACACACCGCGCGCACCGTACGCGCACTCCGCATGCACCGTACGCACACACTGTACGCACACACCGCGCGCAGCGCACGCACCTTAAAAATGACCAACTGTACACCATTGTACACCCCTATGGCCCCATACGTCACGCTATCCATATAAGCCCTACGCCACATTCCTATTGAATTTAGATAACTCTAAACCCTGGGCTGACACTTTGTAGTCAGGCTCTAGCAAGGCCAAGGTGAACCAAAACTTCGAACACCATGGATGCTTCCATCGGAGATCGACTGAGTCACTAGCGGATCACCTTCTGCTTGCCCTGCAGGACCAAAAGAGGAAACACTGACAACTGCAAGTCCGGGAGTTCACCGCCCTCAACCCACCCCCTCCTGCTCACCAGATGTCCGGTCATCTTCCTTGTGACTTTCCGATCTCGACCCTCAACCCCCCCCCCCCCCCGATCTGGCGCCCCCCCCACCCCCACAGCCCCTTTTTGGCTTTTACACTGCATCACACCACACCATACATACGCGACCACCACGCCTCTGCCGCAGCCGCGCCCCCCGCCCCCCCACACTTCTGGTGAAAGCCACGTCACGTTCCTATCACAGTCCATCTCGCGCCTTCCCGCCCAGAGGGCCCCCCCGCCCCCAGATTGGACACTCAGAGAGGCTATGCTGCACGTGCGTGCCTTCCAAACAGACTTGTTAAAAAGGAAACAGCCGCAGAATAGACGCGACGCAACGCGCAGAATAGACGCAACCCGCGTGGAGGGCGCCAAGGGCACGGAGGAGGGGCGTGGAAGGCGTTCAGAGCAATCAGCTGGCTGCCACGACCCCGTCAACCGAATGTCACGCTCGCTCCCCCCCTCCTTGTCCTCGCTCCCCGCCGAACCATTCCGTCAACCGCTTCCCCCATGCTCCAGGCCTCCCCACGCCCCACTCCCAGCAAAGTGTTCCGACCCCCCTCCCTTTGACTGTGTGGTCTCCGTGGCCTCTCGTCAAAATTGCTTCCATTGTCTGTTGAGCGTCTCCTCTTCGTGGCCTCTTCCGTCAGAACGCGATCCGATAGCGCGCCTTCCGCGCTGAAGGGCTAAACGAGAGCCCAACCCGGGAAAGGTTTTCGGGAACAAGCTAAGAAAACACCGAGCACGCGCAGAATAGACGCGAAGCGTCCAAGCCCCCCCCCCACCCCCGCGACACCTCCAGAGGAGCTAGCTTTCGTGATTGCATCGATTACAAGCACAAAAAGTCCAGAAAAAGTGCCCCAAGTTGCCCAAAGCATCCCAAAGCGCCCAACCCCAAGCACCCTCACAAAACACCCCAAATCAAACCCCAAATTCAAATCCAGAATGAAAGACCCCACCCTCTCACATGTCACCGGGGGCCTCCTCCGACGAGACGGTCGTGGAGAGCCTCAGCCAACCTTTTGGCGGCCACTCTCGGGCCTGAGCTTCACACCAGCCGCAGCCGGAGAGAGAGAGGAGGATGTAAGAGCCATTCCAAACTTACCAGATGGAAAGATACCAGTAAAAGTTACACAAAAACTCTCGCCATCCCCAATTTCAAGTAGGTTGCATCGATCTCGGCCGCAGCATTCGCCTCGGCGACGGCGTCGGCGAGGTTCGCCGGCCGTGCAGTTCGCCTCTGGACTCAAAAAACACAAACCTCCTTGAAGGGCTTTGGCTTTGGCAAAAGAACATGAACCTCTTGTATTCCGTGTAGTACTCAAGGTCGGGATCCTTACAAGTACTAACGCTACATGAAGGCCAAACACGTTGTTCGGACCACCACTCCCCGAAAAACAGCAACTCCCCCTGGTTGACAGCATTTGACAGCCCCGCCTCGCAGGCGGACTGACCCCACGCACGGCGCGGGAAGTGAAGCCAAGCTGGGAGAGCCTCGAAGTTGCTTCCCGACTGCTCACGGTTCGGTTCATGGGCATTCGGTGCTCCAAATTGCTACCATGGTAGAGCCCTCTAGAGTGACTATAGTGCAGAACTCGCACGACCACCGGGCACAAACGCCGAGCTGCGAGAGCCAGGCCCCGAGGAGCCAGCAGGGCCACCCCCGGCGCAGCGCCATGGCAGGGAGAGTTTGCAATGGGATTTGTTCAGCGGTTTTCAGCGGGTGCAGGTTCCGCAGATCGACTTGTGGATTCGCCTTTTTTAGCAGTTCCTTGATTTCCTTGCGCCGCCCGGAAAGGGCATCAGCTGTTCGGCTCCTGCCTGGCTTTCGATTGGCACTTGGAGTGGAGATGGGCTCAAAGGATGCCGATGCGTGAATGGGCTGCTAGGCGGGGGGAATCGCTTGCGATATTTTCTAGGCGGCGCACTTCTTCGAGATTGGGATAGCTTGGGGATGAAGAGGAGACTCCAAGTTGGGTTTGGGGATGCAGTATGCTCTTCTGCTCTTATGCTCTTCTGCGCTTGAAAGCACAGGACCACCCGACAAAGACCCGGCAGACAGCAGCTTCATGCCGGGGGGTTTGGCAAGGGGGGGCTTCGGCGGCTTCGGGCTTAGGATTCAGGGACCCGCTAAGGCCCAGCTGGCAGCCTGTCTCAACAGCTCGGATGTAGATGTTTCCGGCGTGGGGGTCTGCATGTACCTGCCATGAGATGAGGCAAGGAGGTTTCGGGCTTCCGGCTTCTGGCTTGCGCGGAGTACCCGTCCGTGCACGAAAATCATCTCGGCGAACGTGTCACAGATGAGTTGGGCACACCTGGCAACGGGGGCTCTGCGAAACCCAAAGCCCAAGAACCCCTAGACTCCTTAAACCATTTACCACGAGGGCGTCAGCCAGGAAAAAGCCCCAAAACAGAGCCCAATCAAGTTTACCATGGGCCCCAGAGCGCGGTAAAAGCTAGACGTTTTTCAATCAAAACCTAATGATAGCTTTTATGTCAGCAGAAGAGCAAGAAAGCAAGAAGAGTCTGATCAACTCGCGAAGCAGGTCATTCGTCAAATTGAGACATTCGGCTTTGGCAACTCGAAAGCTTGCACGCCTGGATGTAGGTGATAACAAGTTTCAAGCGGTCTGATTACTATGGCTCATTGAAGGTGTTTCAACAGTTGTACGAAGCAAGATCTTAAAAGCCTGAAACAAATTTGGGTGGCTTCAAAAAGCCGGCACTTCTTATCACATTCCGCTTGTGCAGTTCCTGCTCCGGGGCCTGCCAAAAGAGCAACTTGGCTTCTGAATACTTTCCGCATGTTGCGGGACACGCGTAGCGGAAGTGAGAGTTGCACTCACTTAGATGGAAGAGGCAAGGCAGATTCAGAATATCGAGACTTCGGTCCAGCTCCTGATCATAGAAGCGCAATAGCATCAAATTGCCTGCGTCAAATATTCGTCTAGCTGCCTGATCCGAAAAACTTATGCTGAATTTTGGTTGAAGGGAAAAAGCGGGAACTACAATAAGGGCGATATTGTAGCATTTTCACTGTTGATGCGTCTCCAAGTTTAGCATTGTACACGACAATGCTTTATAAGACTTTTCTGTTGGCTGGCGGCATTTGCCATGCATGCAAGCTGGAAACATGCCCGAGGTGATTCGCTAACACATAAAAAAACATCCGCGTGGCGAGGAGCCAAGCAGAATTACCAGCCACGCGCTGTTTTACTTCTTAAGTGCTTTTGGAATAGCATTCGGAATATTTCCGATAAGCTGGTCCGCTTGTTGAGTTCCGTACTGCCTCTCGCCCCCTTAGCTGGTCAGCTCCAAGGCCAAGGCTCCTCCACATCCAGGCCCGCGCGCCGGAGGCCTGCCCCAACAGCCAAGGGATGGCTGCGCAGAAGGCAGCCAGTACGTCCACGCCGGGTCTTCTTCAGAAGGGAAAAACTGCCAAGACTCCAACCGAAGCCTGTGTACGTGCACGATCGAATCGCACAGAGCCGAAAGCATTCAGAAGGGCCTTCTGGGTCGTTGGCTTTCAGCAAGCCTGGCCCAAAGGCAGCGCTTTGATGGCTCTTTTTCTTCTGGGCCTTGGTGCTTATATTAGGCTACAAGGCTTTCCAAAACCAGAACCCCCAGTCCGCCGCCTTCAAGGTACTCCATGACGATGACCCGCGAAGAGGAGAATTGCTTGAAAACCTGTCTCGGCATGTTCCTTGGGAGCTCTTGGGTTATGGCAGTTTGGGGTGCAGGCGCGGAGTTCAGGGCTTTTTGCGTGCGTGGGATGTTGCACAAGCTTTTGAGTCTTAGTCTCCGACTTACACAGAACAACCCCCGTAGAGAGAGCCACAAGGAGTGAAGGTGCAAGAATCCTGGCCTTGGGGACATAGACCCAGGGGTGCCGATGTGCAAGCTGCCGCGCGGTCTCCTGAGCGAAGCTTCCAAGGCGCAATCCTTCTTCCCTTGGGTTCCTTTCTGCCTCAACGCCCTCCCAGCTCAAGGGCGAACGATGTCGCATTCTGCGGCTCGTTTGGCATTTGTTCAACCCTCTACATATAACTTATACAGCCGTTGCCCAATCCTCTCCCCTGCCGTGTCCTCACCGCTGGTGGCCTCCAAAGTGAAGTCCAGCTCCCGCGTGAGGTTCTGAGGTGGTGCTCGTTGTTCTCTGATTTTCGCGCCAGAAACAGGATTCCGAGGCTTGCTAAGCTTGCAAGTAGGAGTCTGCGGTTCTCATGAGCTCATGAACTCCGCAACTTTCCTCTCCACCACACGGCAAGGTGGCGGCACCCTGTCTGAAGTCGACATTTCCCAAGGGGCCACCTGCCTTCTCGAAGTCCTCGACCTCGGCAGGAGCTGGCACTTTTGGGCTTCCGGACTTTCGGACGCTGGGTTCAGAATTGGAAAAAGCTTGTGCCTAGCTCTCGTGACCTCTCATGCATGTGCTCGAAATGGAACGCAGGATCTAGGGGTTAGTTAGGGCCACTGGGGCTCCGGCCACCCACATGAGGTCGTATCCAGCAGCCATTTGCTTGATCTGCAAGCTTTGAAATGAAGCTCAGAAGCAACAAGCGACATGAAGGCTACACCAAACGGCTCAGCCGGCACAGCATTGGCAAGTCTTGGGGTGTTTGGTGTTTTTGTGTATGTTATGTGGGCCAGTGATCCATTGAGCTCGTCTGAAGCCTGCGTGCCCATCGTCTTGAAAACCGCGAAGTCAGAAGCCATTTCCTTCCGACGGCAGGATGCCAGTTGGTGCCGACCGTTGGCTGGATGGAAGCCCCAGCGAAAAGCGCTGAAAGAACATCCAAGGCTGAACAAGGCACAAGTTGCTGCAAGAAACTCCGAACGTCCACCGACCCGCTCCTTCCGAAGCTCCGGGTACCTCTAGTTGCGGCAGCTGAACTTCAAGCAGTGCCCGCAGCTGCTGCAAGCGATGCGCGGCGATGCTGCGAAAAGCAACATGCCAAGCAAAGGCCAACAAAGCCTTCACGGCCTCCTCACCAAAAAGCCAAAACAAAACCTCAAGAAGGGCCCTTTGTGGGCGGGGCACTGGATCTTCACGGCGACCCTCATGCCATCGTTGAGTTCGGCGCGGTGCACCTCGCCAAAGGCGCTTTTGGGGCCTAAAGGCCAGAACTGCTGTGACCACTTCAGGAAATTCGCCAACTTGCACTTCTTGGCACGTCTTGGCATGGCTTGGCATGTCTTGGCATTTCTAGTGGTCCTCGCCTGCGCCAAGCTGGCCGCTGCAATCGGCACATCCTCACAAGCTCCATGCGCAGTGAACAGCAATAAGCCTCAAAAACGGCCTGTCGTGTCGTGGGCTCTAAACACTGGTTTTTCAAGCTGCCCCACCCGACTTCCGGCTGCACGAAAGTTCATTGCTCTTGGATATGGCTCGACACTTCTCCCAAACGAACCTCCGATCCGACACTTGAATTGAGCCATACTTCTGCCTGCCTCGATGCTCCTCAAGTCACAGTCCTGCAGCTGGGGGGAGCTCACATTCCATGGGCCCCCCCTTTCCTTCCATGCACAGATGGTTTGTTTGGAGAGGGCTCTTCTGGCTGCAGGGCTGGCTTGGGGCTTGGGGTGAGTCGGTCAGAGTTTCTGGGGGGAGCATTCTCTGAAGCAACGAAGAAAAGCCGATGCTCACAAGCCCTGCCAGCTGCAAGCAAAGGGACGCAAAGAGGCTTGGGCTTGGGCAAACTCCGAAATGCCCGAAGCCTGAAAAGGCGGGCGCAAAGGTGCCTGGTTCAGCTGCGTCGCTGGCCAATCCCCCAAGGTCATGCACTCCTGTCTACCAAGATTCGCATGCAAAAGCTCGTCTCGGGCTTACATGTCAAGATCGGCCAAGCCTAAAGCCCGGCATGGCAGGATTTTGGGGGGGTTTTAGGCATGCTCGGATCCTCACTGGGCAAGTGTGCTGCCAAAGGGTCCTTGAGAACTTCTGCGACCTCGCCGATGGGCCTGGCATGAAACCGCGAATGGCCATGCAGGAACTGAGAGTACGAATTGAAAGCGAAAGCTGCACGCAACCACAAACAAATGTGCAGCTCTGCCCGTTCTACCCTCGCTTGTTTTCTCGGACCTCACTGCCGCACATGTCGCTCTCACCATTTGTGATTGCAAGCGTGCGCAAGCGTCCGCGACTGTCGCACAAGCCTGTGTTTTGGAATCGCTTTGGGCTTTGAGCTTAGAAAGGTGATAGCAGATAAGACCTAGGAGGGTGAAGAGACAAAGAGGCAGAGAGGCAGAGAGGCAGAGAGGCAGAGAGGCAGAGAGGCAGAGAGACATAGAGACAGAGAGGCAGAGAGGCAGAGAGACAAAGAGATAAAGAGATAAAGAGATAAAGAGATAAAGAGATAAAGAGAGAAAGAGAGAAAGAGAGAAAGAGATAAAGAGATAAAGAGATAAAGAGATAAAGAGATGAAGAGATGAAGAGATGAAGAGATGAAGAGATAAAGAGATAAAGAGATAAAGAGATAAAGAGATAAAGAGATAAAGAGATAAAGAGATAAAGAGATAAAGGAAGGTCTTGTTGCACTTACTACTCGAAGTAAATTTTGTTGTAAATGCTACTAGTCTTGAATTTCTGAGGAAGGTTTCGTTGCAATTGCTACTAGTCTCGAGATTCTGAGGAAGGTTTTTCTGCAACTGCTACTGGTCTTGGGTTTCTGCGGAAGGTTTCGCTGCAATTTTCACATGTCCTGAACTTCTGAGGAAGGTTTGGTTGCAATTGCTACTCGGCTTGAATTTCTGAGGAAGTGAATGCTACTAGTCTTGAGTTTCTGAGGAAGGTTTCGTTGCATTTGCCACATGTCTTGAATTTCTGAGGAAGGTTTTGTTGCACTTGCTACTCGGAATGAATTTCGGAGGAAGGTTTTGTTGTAAATGCTACAAGTCTTGAAATTCTGACGAAGGTTTCGCTGCACATGATACCAGTCTCGAGTTTCTGAGGAAGGTTTCGTTGCAATTGCTACATGTCTTGAGTTTCTGAACAAGATTTTTGTTGCATCTGCTACGTGCCTTGAAGTTCTGAGGAAGGTTTCGTTGCAATTGCTACGTGTCTTGAACTGCTGAGGAAGGCTTCGTTGCATTTGCCACGTGTCTTGAATTGCTGGGCAAAGTTTCGTTGCATTTGCTACGTGTCTTGAATTTCTGAGGAAGGTTTCGTTGCAAGTGCTACTCGGCATGAATTTCTGAGGAAGGTTTCGTTGTAAACGCTACTGATCTTGAGATTCTGAGCAAGGTTTCGCTGCCATTGCTACACGTGTTGAATTTCTGAGGAAGGTTTCGTTGCAGCTGCTACTCGTCTTGAATTCCTGAGGAAGGTTTCGCTGTAAATGCCACTAGCCTTGACTTTCTTACGAAGGTTTCGTTGCAGTTGCTACATGTCTTGAATTTGAGAGTAAGGTTTAGTTGCAATTGCTGTCTGTCTTGAATTTCTGAAGAACGTTTCCTTGTAACTGCTACCCGGCTTGAATTTCTGAGGAAGGTTTCGTTGCAATCGTTACTCGGGTTGGTTTTCTGAACTAGTCTTAAGCTTCTGCGGAAGGCTTCGTTGCAATTGCTACATGTCTTGAGTTTTACGTATCTTGACATTCTGTGCATTTGCTGCGTGTCTTGAACTGCTGAGCAAGGCTTCTTTGCATTTGCTGCATGTCTTGAAATTCTGGGGAAGGTGTCGTTGCAATTGCTACTCGGCTGGAATTTCAAAGGAGATTTTGCTGTAAATGCTGCTAATCTTAAGTTTCTGCGGAAGGCTTCGTTGCAATTGCTACATGTCTTGAGTGTCTGAGGGAGGCTTTGTTGCAATTGCGCTGTAATTGCTATATGTCTTGAGTTTCTGAGGAAGGTTTGTTGTAGATTTCGTTGCAATTGCTGCTCGACTTCAATTAAGAAACACGATTTTGCTGTAAATGCTACTAGTCTTAAGTTTATGCGGAAAGCTTCGTTGCAATTGCTACATGTCTTGAGTTTCTGAGCAAGGTTTTGCTGCAATTGCGACGCGTCTTGAATATCTGAGGAAGGTTTCGTTGCAATTGCTACGTGTCTTGAGTTTCTGAGGAAGGTTTGTTGCAATTGCTACTCGTCTTGAGTTTCTGAGTAAGGTTTCGCTGTAAATGCTACTAGTCTTGAGTTTCTGAGGAAGGTTTCGCTGTAATTGCTACATGTCTTGAGCTTCTGAGGAAGGTTTCGTTGTAGATGCTTCAAGTCTTGAGTTTCTGAGGAAGGCTTCGTGGCAATTGCTACGTGTCTTGACTTTTTGAGGAAGGTTGCTTGCAATTGCTACTAGTCTCGAGATTCTAAGAAAGGTTTTGCTGCACATGATACTAGTCTGGAGTTTCTGAGGAAGGTTTCTTTGCAATTGCTACATGTCATTCATTTCTGAGGAAGGTTTCGTTGCAATTACTACTCGGCTTGAATTTCTGAGCAAGGTTTCTCCGTAACTGCTGTTGATCTTGAGTTTCTCAGGAATGTTTCGTTGCAATTTCTACATGTCCTGAACTTCTGAGGAAGGTTTTGTTGCAATTGCTACTCGTGCTGAATTTCTGAGGAAGGTTTCGCTGTAAATGCTACTAGTCTGAGGAAGGTTTGTTGTAATGCTACATGTCTTGAGTTTCTGAGGAAGGTTGCGTTGCACGTGCTGCATGTCTGGAGTTTCTGAGGAACGTTTCATTGCAATTGCTACTAGTCTTGAGATTCTAAGAAAGGTTTTGCTGCACATGATACTAGTCTGGAGTTTCTGATGAAGGTTTCGTTGCAATTGCTGCATGTCTTGAATTTCTGAGGAAGGTTTCGTTGCAATTGCTACTCGGCTTGAATTTCAAAGGAGATTTTGCTCAAATGCTACTAGTCTTAGGTTTCTGCAGAAGGCTTCGCCGCAACTTGCTACGTGTCTTGAATTTCTGAGGAAGGCTTCGTTGCAATTGCTTCGTGTCTTGAATTACTGGGCAAGGTTTCGTTGCATTTGCTACGTGTCTTGAATTTCTGAGGAAGGTTTGTTTGCAATTGCTTCTCGGCTTGAATTTCTGAGGATGGTTCCAAGTTTCGTTGAGAATGCTACTAATCATGAGATTCTGAGGAAGGTTTCGCTGTCACTGCTACTAGTCCGGAGTTTGTGAGCAAGGAAGGTTTCGTTGCGTTTGCTACTCGGCTTGAAACGCTGAATAAGGCTTCGCTGAGCAAAAAGAGAACTGAAATAACCGTGACAGTGCTTGATTTTGACGATTATGAATTAACCCACACAAGAAACAACATTTGCCTGAGCATCCTACACAAGCGTATTCTTGGGAGCAATGTTTGCTATCGCGTCGCGATCGCTTAGCCTCATAGGAGGCAAGGGTTTGCTTGAGGGCTTCATCCCAAGGCAAGACGCCTCATTGCCTGGGTGTCCCACTTACCAAAGTCGCGCTCAACCAATACAACTCACGTGCCAAGCGCAGAGCGCAACACTCCGACACCGAGAGAAGGCACGAAGCAACCGAGAGAATCCCAACGTCCACCTCCATCGACACCTGACCAAGATCCTCACACACGAAACCTCAAACATCTGCTCGTGTGAGGAACCTTTTGACAAGGCGATGCCTGCGCACAGTTGGGGGGTGTGCCAGGCAGGCAGCCCCCGGCAACATGCCACCCACTCGCACAGAGAGGTCACACCGCTAAGAATGACGCATTGGATTCTCGGAAACGGCGGCCGGCCTTCACCATAGTACGTATACCGGCCTCGCCAGCGCCACGCCAGGGCGGGCGGCATAAATTTGCTGTGAAATTCGCTCCGCAATATCGGGCACACACACACAACACACACCAGCAGCAAGTCGCAAAACTCCAGCGCAGGACACATAAAGTGTCGGGCGACGTTGCGTGAGTTACGCGACCGTTCGCAGGAGCACTGGCCGCATTCCAAGCCACCCCGGTACAAGCGAGCCACCGCCAAAAACAAACTCGCGTGCCAAGCGCATGGAGAGCACTACACTCAGCCATGCCCACGAACGAGCACTCAGATACTCCCAAAAACTCCCAAGCCGGCTGGATGCTCGGGGGACCAAGTCCCCTAGTACCTCCCCCGGGTTCCACACCCACCCTGTAAGCCCCCAACTCAATCAGATAATCAACTGCAAGCCCGGGGGCGTCCCTCAACCTCTGAAAGAAGATGTCACAACTTGCCCGAGCTGCTTGTGGGGCGCATGGTCGGTGAAAACCGCCAGTGCATCAGTGTACCTCTTCCGACGGGCAATGGACATCGAGATGGTTTTGGCATTCCCCTGGATTCCGCTGGATTGCATTGGACCCCAGAGGCATTGCATTGGTGGTGCCATTTCCCCCCGACACGCCTCCTTTATGGAATTTATGTCGTCGGATACTTCAGCGACGCCTTCCAGGTCCCTGAATGATATAACCCAATGTAACCCGAAACAAACTGAAACCGGACCATGCCCTGCACCTCAGAGACCCCAAGCCCGAATGACCTGAAACCGTTGAAGCAAAGAACGGGACGCCCTGTTCCCCGCCACAGCACCCAAATGGGGCACGGCTTTGGTACACCGCGCTCCCCCGTGCCACCGCGGATGGAAGCAATGAACTGCGCCGCCTCTTCGGACAAAGGGTCTGGGAGTATTTTAGTGCTTTTGCGGGGAAAGAAGGCCCGTGGCCCATCCCATCTCAGCGATGTCTGCTTACTCTTGACAGGACATGACCAAAGTCAGAGTCAGAGCCAGGGATTACAGTGCATCATGGCATCATGCACCGCAAATCCCCAGAACTCGGAAAAAATTGGGCGCAAGATGGAGTCGCTTAAAGGCACAGCACGCCGAGCAAGAGCACACCTTGACGTACAGGCCGCGGTGCTGATTGGCGACCTGAGGTGTTGGACATGCGGTCGAAACAGACCCCCCGCGCAGTGCGAGGGAGATGAGGGAGAGCGGGAGAGAGGGAGCATAGAATATGCTGCGGCGATTGCCGCAGCCACTTTATTCAACGAACAGCGCTTGAAACACAACCGCTCACAAACCCTGCAGCTCCAGCGAAAGGAGCGCCCCTAATTCCTAACCTGCCGACCACTCAAACCCCACCTGGAACCTGAAACTTCACAATGGTGTTTGCAAACGCGGTCGCCCGAACCAGGGTCTCTCCTCCCTTGGCAGGGCTTTCTTGGCCTGGCCTTCACGCAGCGCTGGGCGCCCCTTTTGTGGCACTCCTGCAATGTCAAGGGGAGGAAAGCACGCGAAAAGGAGAGCAGGGAAGCAACCGTTCAGCAGCCTTCAACAGCCTTCAACAGCGTTCAACCCGGCAAGCCCATGTGGCAAAAGGCCATGCAAGGCCACATTAGCAACACCGGAGCTGTCCTGCAGGGCAGCATTGTACCTGCGCCAGGGCTCACAATGAGGCTCACAAGCATGACATCTGGCCTCCTCAAAGCTCCTCAAAGCTGCCAACGTTGGTCTTTTTTGCTGGCGCACTCAGGCGTGTCCTCCTCCATGTTAGAGAGGCTGCTGGTGTAATCCTACGCAAGGACGGGGCGGTCGGAGAGAAGAGCTACCTCGAAGCATCCCAAAACCTGAACAGTGATGACTTTGAAAGGACCTGCTTCTGCTCGTTGAACTGCATCATCGTCACCTCAGCGCCATTTGCGTGCCCCCCAGTTGCGCGTTATAGTTTATGGCCCTCCTGACTTATCAACTGCCACAATCGACAAATCCAACACATTGAGTAAACAGACACTTGGACGAAGCCTGTTGAAACGGTCTGTCATCTAGTGACTTGTTCTTGCTGCACTCTTCTCAGGGATGTGAGGCTTAAGGTTGGGATAAGGTTTAGGGGAGAGGTTTGGGGTTTGGAGAGGAGGGGGGCGGGGGGGTTCCGTGCAGGCGGGATACCTTCGAGACCATAGATACTCTCTCTCTCCTTGGCCAGGGACCAGCGAATCACTGGGATCGCGGCCATACTCCGGCTCATGCCCATCATCATGTCCTAGGCAAGGCGCTCTACAAAGAAAGCAGCCGGCACCTAAACAATGTCGCTGAAGTCTGGAAAGCTTCGCTCACAGTAGAGCCACTAGAAAGTAAACTCTCTCGACCTCTGAGGGACCCTCCGGCGCGGGCATCACCACTTCGTCCGGCTCGCTGCCCACACGCCGCCGCTTGGCGTCCTCAGCACCCAAGACCCAGGACGGAAGAAAAGGATCTGCTGCAAGTCCCAGGTGTGAGACAGTCAGTGCGAGAGCAGTCTCACGAGCTGGGGGTTTCCTTCTTGGAGGTGTGGGAGATGGACTCCCAGACTCGACAAAAGGCGGCGCAAACTGAACCTGAGGAGCTCGGTTCTCGGCAGTGCTCTCCATGGCGGAAAAACGGAGCTGGCAGCAACGGCAACGTGTCGGCACTCGTTTTTCAGATGATTCTTGGGGGGCCTTGCCTGTGTTTGCATAGCTTGCATTGGCTTGCATGTCTTGATCTTCAGCGGCTGGGGTAGCGACGCAAACGCGAGTCGAAGCAGAGTGCAAAGCTGCAGAAGCCCAAATACACTCCAAAAACTTTCAGAATCTTCCAACCTGAAGCCTCGAACCTCAAAGCCCCAAACCGTATGCAAACGTTTGGCGCTCTTCACCCACTCAGTCATCCAGGTCAATGCTGGCAGGGGCGCAGCTCAAACGCTGCGCAAAGGCACCTGCGCAAGCGTGAAGCCAAAGTTCCGGAGTGTCTCTCCGTGTCTCTCCGTGTCTCTCCGTGTCTCTCCCATTCTTTCCCCCAGCCCTCCTACTGAAAGAAAAAGAACGATGCCACGATGTTACGAGCCTGAAGCAGAGGCACCGCCCGTTGGAGCCGACCTGCACAACGGCCCCAAATCCGGAAGCTGGAGCGACCAAACGGCCCCAAAAAAATAAGCGCAGTGCCGAAGTTTGCAAGTCAACTCTTGGCCGGAAAACAACGGCACTCGGACTGTAAACATGGCGCCACTTGGCCGCAGGCATGGGCTTCTTCGCCCACTCCCCCGCTTCGAACTCCGCGGGCCTGCAGAGGTCTTGGGGGGCTGAGTTACTGAGTTTGTCCCGGAATCTCGCGGCCTCTTCCTCGTCTCCGCGCGCGGCTCCTTCGCTGCCGGCCACTTGAAATGGAGGTTTGAGGGCTCGGGTTTGGAGTTTCAGGGTCGCTTGGAGGTTTCGTGGGAGTCTGAAGCCGCGCCTCGCAGGGAGCTTCTCAGGACTTTGGGTTTCAGGCTTGAGTGTCCAGTATAGGGGAAAGCTTGGCTTCAGGGTCTCACTGGTATGCAGACGCCAAGACTTGCAAAGCAGTTGCATGTTATGCTCATTATACGAACCTTCAAACTATGTAGGCAATCTAGGCACCGCCGGTTTATGGAAACCAATGGAAACCCTCTTGGATCAGCGGTGCGAGGACGAGATGCCAAGATGCCAAGAGAAGCGCGCGGCCTCATGTTTCGCGTGCGCCCGGAGAGGCGGCTCAGCCATTCCGCCCAAGAGAGCCTCCAGAGCATGCGTACAGCATTGGGAGCTGAAGGCTCGAAAGGTGCGAATGCTCTTTTGTGTGACATATGTGAAGTCTCAGCACCAAAAGGCTGGGGGCGAAGGCTGGGGCAGAGAAGGCTCGGGGAGAAGGTGAGCCCGGAGCATCTGCAGCGGCGTCGGCGCTGCCAAAGGTCTGGAGGGCCTCGCAATGTCTCGACTCAAAAAAACGGTCACGACCACAATCGCGCTTCCTTTTTCCGATACCTTTGTGCACCCTGAAAGCATGCGGTAGGCATCAGCCTGCCAGCCGAGAGCGCCTACACTGGCCCTTAGCCCTACAAGGTGTGCGACAGCACCCCAAAAAAGAAACACCCGCCTTCTCTGCCTCCTCAAAGCTGCATCCGGCAAGCTCCTGAGTTTTTGTACGTGGGCAGAACTCGCACTTACGTTTCCCAATGCTGCCCATGCACATTCTCAACAACAACCCTGAGTCCTTTAGTCCAACATCTGAAACGCCGTTTCAACCTCTCAAGCCCAAACTCTCCCTGCTCTCGGTCTCCCAGGCTGGGCCTGCAACGCTCGTGCCTGTGGCGATGCCTGCCCCAGAAACCCTTCGCACATCGAAAACCACTTCACGCGCAAAGCAGTATTTTTTAGACGCGATTTGGGCTGCCGAGCTATGGTCGAGCTTCATGCGGTAGGTGGGGCCTAGCAACATAACGAAGATTGCAGTTTGCGTGGAGGAGCTTCAGGCTTCGCTCCGCTACCTGATCTGCCCTCTTTCCGACCTGGTCTCCTAGCGATTTGCAATCTTGTTCAATCACGTTGCGGTCAATCAGAAGCGTTACGGCGACCACGGACCCAAAGGCAAGAATGCGAGAACATGGCACAATGGCATCCCACACATAGCCAGAATCAAAGGTATTCTAGCATCGCCAATCACAGGTGCAGCATCCCGAAATCACTGATGTCACAGCATTCCACTTGAACGATGGTCTAACGATACCGTAGTCGAGCTACCGATCATGGGCAAGAGGCGTCCTTCATGTTCCATCCCAAAAATCTGGATCCCAGAGCCTCCCATAACTCTTGGCCCCAAAACCCCCTTTCGGACAACGAAGTTCAGAGATCGGCGGGTACCTGCGACGAGCTTGAAGACGAGCTGCCCTGCCACACGTCAAATAAGGTCCAAACACTAGTCAGCAGATGCGATATCTTGGTCTTTTTGGTTGAGGCTTCCCAGATCTTCCCAGCAAAGCTGGTGTTCATGATTCGTGGCATGGATTGTGAACTCAAAAAGCTTGATGGGTGCCAAGTATCCTACTGGCTTGCTGGGCACTGCTTGGGGAGATGTCTTCCTTTCATGACCCTGACCAGACCCCCAAAGCCCTGAACCATGCTAAGCCCTACACTCCTGATTGATTGATTGATTGATTGATTGCCTGTGGGCGTTCGCTCCTGAAGCCCATGATAGAATGACCCACGTTTACAACACTTCTCGGGATCAACACAAACCTGGCTGGGGGTGTGTCTCCGGTGAGTTCTCCAGCCCGGGACACAAACTCACGGAATGCTGCATCGATGCCCCCAATCCGAAGGTAAAATGCCAGGGCCATGGTCCTGCTCAGCCAAGCAGGCAAAGCAAACCTTCTACGATCAAATAAGCTTGCCACCCGATTGGACTCGGGCACATTTCGGCACGTCCCATCCATATGATCCTGGCTAGAACTCCGGGCCTCGCCCCCTGGCTTCTGCAGACGGCTTTGCCGCAGCGCCTTTGCTGTGTGATTTCGTTCCACACGGGTTCCCGTGGCGTGAACCGGGTTGAAGCAAGTTGAAGCCCTTCAGGGGATACTCGCATGCAAGCACGTGCTGTGAGGTCGTGGAGGAATCGGCTTGCGGGCTAAACTACAAAGCGGCCTCCTGCAGCTGTTCATACTCGTCATCGCTGTCCTCCGCCACCTCTCTGGAAGAAGTCTTCTGGGGGAACATGGAATCTCGGATTTTCTGCTTTGAGGCTTCTGTGCTCCAGTTGCAGTTGGTCACTTGCACCTCCTCCCTTGGACACTCTTTTGGTCGCTACATCTCTATCTCGAATCGAGCCGCTGCGTGCTCGCCCCAGCTACCCCAGCTGACCCAGCTGCCCCAGCTCCCGACCAATGCAGATTCCACCGTAGACGCCCCACAAACGAGCAGACGGAGGCTGCCAGTCTCCGAATGCCGATGCAGCATGAGTTCAGGCATCCTAAATCGTACCGTCCCTGGGACCACTGAAACTCTTGAATCTGCTGATGGCTGCAAAAAATTTGTAAAGCTCGGGCCAGTCCTGCATCCCAGACCCTGAAGCCTAATCCTCCCCTAAGCATCCACAGGGACTCGGAGAACGAGTGAGACGCCTCCACAAAGCGCTGCGTGACGGGCGCCTGGACTGAGGCTTGGGTTGGGAGATCGGGCTGTAGGGCCTGTAGAATCTGTGGGAACGGAGAATTAGAGACATGGATCATGCACTAAGTTGCATCACGATGTTGTTGGGAAGCACAGGTGACCGAGTTCAGTGTCAACTGTGAAGTCCTACTGCTACAACTCTTAACCCAAAGCCACCTCATCATCATCGCACACGTCGCCCACCCGCCGCAGGCCGTCGTTGGGCTGGCAAGCCAGGATCTAACCATTTCAGCGAAGAAACACAGAGCACCAATCCCCCTGCTCCTCGGTACGTGTCAGCATGGACCTTGTTACAATGGTACTAGTACTGCCGCAAGTCAATTCAAGTCGATGCGCAACTAAACGTCCAAGGACCTGAGCGCGTGTCAAACCAACATGTTATCATATCCCCACTTTTTGGCACGTATCCGCCATTAGGGCCCTCCCTCTTCCGAACAGGTAACATGGATCAAACATGGCCACAGCACCCAGCGCGAGGGTGGATGCCACGGAGGTGCAAAGTCGCAGCAGATGTGCAGGGCCTGGGGGCTTCGCCCTCCCCCCCTTCCCCTCCCCTTCGCCCCCTTCGCCCCCTTCGCCCCCTTCCCTGCTTGTCCCTCCCAGGCCCTCCAAACATCCTCCTCTGCCCACGCGCGCCTGTCGGCGGTCCACAGGGCCAGAGAAGGCACTCTTCTCGAAGGCCGCAGCACTCACCCACACGGTGCCTCGCTGGCCTCATGGGTCAGGCTGCTGGGGCTGATGCTGTACAAGAGTTAATCCTGACTCCCGAAATCCACAAAAGCAAGGCTGCCGGCTGCTGTAGGAGATGGTCATCGATGCCCCGCACTCCTGCGCGAAGAGTGCGAAGCCCAAGACTTCTAGGTACCGAGGAAGAGATTGCTCGGTGCAGTTCTGGAAATTCCGAAATTCTGATGACCATCCTGAGTCGATCCGTCTGGATTACAACTTACAGTTGTGAAGCGGAGGCGCCTGGCAAAACTCCCGCACGGCGTGCCTGGCATGCGGCGGGGGCTGCGTGGGGCAGCAGCGGGCCGCTGAGGGTGCGATGTCTTTTGGAAGTTGAACATTCTCATTGAACATTCTCAATATGTTGACTGGAGCGCATACGGTGGGGGCCCGTGTTGGCCGGCACCTACCAGTAGCGAACGCGGTAGCGAACGGCTTGCCTATCCGGCAAATCTCCTCATCTCTCAAGACACGGGGTGCCAGGACAAGGATTGTCTAGCCGACAAATGCTGCTCTAACTGAAGCAAGAAACCACGCAACAGAACCGTGACAGGACTATTCGGAACCACGACAAGAAGGCAGGCAAAAGCATGACAGCTTTTCCGGGCTTGGAGGCCCCGAGACAGAAAACAACCGGAAGACCAAATTTTGAAGGTTTCAGATCACAGAACTTGGATAATCTGGTCTCCCGTGCGCTTGGCTGGGCACGGCAAACGACTCGGCAAACGACCGGGTTTCTGGTCCTTCCCCCGCCCAACCCCTTGACGGACCATCGCACTTGTGACCACATGTTCACTTGACATATCCACGACGAGCTTTGCATGAGGCGCCCGCTGCAGCGGAGGTGTGTGCGTACCATTGTTCTTACTGCGAGACATGGAGTGAGTGAGTGAGTAAGTGAGTGAGTGAGTGAGTGCGTGCGTGCAAAGTGAGTGTCGAATCAGCAAGCACATGATCCTGCAAACAACTGCATCACGAAGCTTTGACCGGCAACTCTCATTTTCAGTCGCTATGAGCGCCAGTGGTGCAGCTTCAGGTTCTCCTTTCCAGCGAAGGCGGATGTCAGGAGGGCAAGGAAGGTCAGGTTCAGTGGCCGGGTTCAGGGTCACCGCCGGCTCTGGCGCTTCTGTGAGATTTGGAGAACTTGGACTTCTTGACGAAGCACCCGCTTTTCACCCGCTTTTCGCTAGAAAACCCTGAACCTCCCTGAGCTCCCGCTCAAAAGACTTCCTCACACCGGGAACAGTCCACTCTCTGCTCACGCCCAGACTCCCCGCCTCCGAGGGGCCAGCCGTCGCACAGCGTGGAAGGCGGCGGCGGAGCGGCTCCGAGGGGTGCTCCAGCAGCGCCTCGAAGGTGCGGTGGTTTGACGGCTTCTTCTGCAGCACCCCTTGCTCCCTGTACCTCCCAACTATGTAACTGCACATGAGACTTTCGAGATTCTTTCACCCGCAGCCGCTGTGACATCCAAACCCCAAACCTCGCCACCAACATGTCAAACACATCAAAAAACTCTCACCTTTGTGTTGAATTGCCCAACCCTCGTGCATCGCGTTGGCAGCAGGCCTCCAAGACATCGTACTCGCGCGACATCACACGCTTCCTTGGAGGGTGCAGCCCACAAGTTGCAGGCCCCAACACAAGACTGCTCTGCAAGCGGCCGCTTTATGGGTTAGAGGCTCCGAGTTCACAGAGTTTGAGGTTGGATCAGCGAATTCGCCCCCATTTGTCAGTGCCAAGTCCTTCGTGGCGACCATCTGGGGGAAAGGGAAAGCTCGTAACTAACCAAAGCAAAGCATGCTTTTAATGGAGATTATGTTTGCGCGGTCGGATGGCCACATGCTTAGGGCGAGAGTCCGTGTTTGGCCTTGGTGAGGCAAGATTCTTCCTGGCTCACTGGCCCGATAAGTACCAAAAGTGCGACGGTGTGCATTGGAGGAACGTTGTCGGGGCATGTGTCCTAACAACTTGGATCCATTCTGTGAGTACAGTTTAGAAGCTTGATCAGTCAATCGTTAGGGCTTACCGCTGCTGAGGGCTTCCAGCACTGGGCGGGAGGCTCTGTGCTCGAGCCTTACTGGCTCTCCTGATAGCCTAAACCGGCCTAAACTTCTAAACCGCAATGCTTGGCGGATGTAGGTTCATGTAGATCTTGGCGGTCCCAGGAGCAGCTCGTCAATCAGCAACGGCTGCGAACAGAGGCCCGATCGCTGCCTTATAATGAGCTGAGCGAAATCACCCCCAAACTTGTCCAGGTTTTGGAACAAGATACAACAAGATACAACACGAGCCGTAGTGCCAGGGACAGCCAGGCTGCTGCCCGCGGGAGTTGTAGCGCTTGAGACGGGCACGAGAAGGGAAGGGCCTGATTGCAGCTCCACGGCGTATGCAGATAGAAGCTTCCGTGTTTTGAGAAAGGTTTACAAAAACAACAACGGATTCAGGCTGAAGGTTTGAGATTCTGAGCTGAAGACATCTAGTTTCATAGTAGGTTTCGCTTGGTGTTGGCACCCACTGATGAACCTGAATCTCGAAGTTGCTATTTCACATTTTGTTGAGGCACAAGGACTGCAACAGGCAATACCAACCCAGCCTGTCCTACACCCTCAACACTGCATACTTGTGCCAAGGCACCCCAGGCCCAAGAAATGGGCCACGCGCTCGTATGTCTTGTGATGGTGGAGCTCCTCCTCCGGGCTGTTGGCTCTTGGCAGAACATGTAAGGTTCAGGCGCTGCTTGTTTTCTCTCGAACCTCGAGCCCTAAGACTCGACGCAACTCGCCGTAACCCTTCCAGGACGCAGAATTCTGCGGTTCACAAGTAGGCAAAAGCAGCGCCCAGCTTTGCTTTGAAATCCGTTTAATCCCAATAAGCGCCAATAAGCTCCAAGCAGTCTCGCACCTGAAAGGATTTGGGAATCACGCTTGCGCCTGGGCCCTTATGCCAACTTATGCCAACTGTTTTGACAAGGTCCCCTTGGGCTTCGGTGGTTTCAGGCTTTCGAGAGTGCCCTTCTCGTCCTCAAACATGGGCCCCCTATTAACGGAAATTTTGCTCAAAAGGATGCTCTCTCGGGGGATGATCTCTCTTGCTGTCTTGCTCTCCTTCTCCACGACAAGCAGGCGATGGCCAAAGGTGCTCTTGATGGAGGCCAGCGCGGCTCCGAAGTACAGGTACCTCGTCGCTCTGTCTTTCTTTGTGGAAGGTCTCTTCCGTGGGGGCTTCTTTGAAAGGGGCGGCAAGGCTAGTCACACTCAGAAGAGCAGAGAACGGCCATAGCCAAGCCCCCCAGACTGCTGAAGGCGGGGAGCCCACGCTTGTCCTCCAACTTCCGCAGCAGCAGCTCCTTCTTCTTGCTTCGTTCAGGGTTTGTGATGCGAGGGTTTCCGCTTGGGGATTGAGGTTCCAGAAATTGAGAAGTCTGGGGCCAAGCTTTGTGACATGCAGGGCAGTGCTCATCAGTGCTCTCATCGTGTAAGCAGCACAGCTTCGCCTGGAGATCTGCTTCGTCCAGCTCGTTCTCCAAGTGCAACTTCCTGTGGGGAAGGTAAACGACATTGTGGCTTCAAACTTCAGACGCTTAGCTTTGCACAGGTTTCAGCGCCTCTTCAGGAGACGCGACTGCGGAAAACACAAGCCCAACCAACTTCTCCCAGGTGAATCTGGACACTAAGGCGGTTGGACGCCTTTCCAGGTGTCGTAGTAGGTCGTTGGTGTGACTTTGGGCGGGAGTTTCACAGAATGGGCGAGAATCTATTTTGTACCTTGTCTAGTTCGCGTCTTGTCTTTTTGTTTAGGGCTTCCTATAAAGAGACAGAGGAGATACTGTCCTTTCTTTTTTCCCGACTTGCTAAATGATGCTATCCATCTAGCTATCATTGTTTATGTATCTATGTTCGTCTTTCTTTCTTTTGCTATCTGTCTTTCTTTATTATTTCCTTTCTTTCGTTCTTTCGCTCTGTCGTTCTGCGCCTCTATTTCCCCGATGCTATATTGGGAAATCTGGTTTCTTCGGTATTCAATCGGAAAGCTATATTCCGCTATGTTCAATAAAGTCTATATGTTCATACGAAAACTCTGCTCCCTCCAACCCCTATTTCCTGTGTACTTTAACAGGAAGACTAAAGAATGTTTCGGGGGGCCCCCTCACAGAATTTCACAAACGCCGGCTCGGAGACCAGGCCTCTCGAATCGGTCCACCGGGTCGCACACAGCCACCACCTCAGCAAAAAAGGCGAGCAAAGAACAGGGTTTAGGGAAGCTCAGGCGAAGTTTAATGCTGCAGATGGCCTTGTCTTCTGGTATCTGTGTGTGGCTGCATCTGTGTGAGGCACTGCTTTTTGGTTTGGCAGCTTAGCCGTACCGGGCGCCGAGCGGTGCTGCGGTGCTGCAGCGCTATGGTGATTTGTACGCAAAGCGCATTGCTTCGGAGTTTGCGAAGTCACCAACCCTTCTTGTGTCCGAGCCCAGCCTGAATTTGCTAGCAAATTTGATGGTTGGCTCTCCTTGGCTTTGTGCACTCCAGGCTCATCTGGGGGTTCCTCAGAGATGTGGGATGGCACTGCAGGCGATGCATCAGTGATTCGGGCCATGCTTTCTGGTTGCAAGGAATGTCTGACGGTGACGGGCCCTGCAAAGACACATCGCGGAGGGCGGGGGGGGCAAGAGGGTGGGGGGGGGGACTGGCCAGAGATTCTTTTTGGAAGACCAGTGAGAACGTTTCAGGCAACTTCCCAGGCACCCAACCAGAAGTCGAAGCCCCCACTAGGGCACCGGACGATGCGCATTTCCGGAATCAAGCTCAAGACGTGCTCCATCACTTCCTGACACAACCTTGCAACCCCCGAGGCTTAGCTCAGTTTAGCTGATCGAGGCTTCGGGAGGGCTCAGGATTGGGTTATAATCCCTCTACTTACAACTGCCTCGACCACGACCCCAAGCTACGTAAAACAAACGACATGAACATCCAAGGTTCAGGAAGCTGGCAGCACAGTCCTCGCTCCACATGACGGGCTGGTAAATGCCCAGACGCTTCACCTCAGTTCAATCGGCCGCCTTCAAGAACTTCAAGATACTGCAAGCCAAAC